TAAACAAGTTGAGCCATACAAATCACAAAACAAGAATATCGAACCATACAAACCGCATAACAACAAACCGCAAGACGTAATCACAACACTAGTTTCCTATATTAACTCATATTCTCCACAAGACGTAATCACAACACTAGTTTCCTATATTAACTCATATTCTCCACAAGATGTAATCGTAGCACTAGTTTCCTATATTACCTCATCTTTTCTGTAAGACGTAATCACAGCATTAGTTTACTATATTAACTATTCTCTGCAACACGTAATCGCAACATTAGTTTTCTATATTAACTCTTCTCCTCTGCAAGATGTATTCATAGAAGAAACTTATATTAATGCATCTTCTCCACAAGAAGTATTCATGGAAATATTTTACGTATAACTTATATTTTTACTCGATATTTTAATAAAATAAATTTTTGTTCAACATATCATATCCAATATGAAGTTTCGTAAAATATCCTCATCCATATGCGTTTTCAAAACTACATTGTGAAGTGCTAGAATAGGTGTTTTCAAAACTACACTGTGAAGTGCTAGAATAGGTGTTTTCAAAACTACATTGTGAAGTGCTAGAACTGGTGTTTTCAAAACTACATTGTGAAGTGCTAGAATAGTTGTTTTCAAAACTACATTGTGAAGTGCTAGAATAGGTGTTTTCAAAACTACATTGTGAAGTGCTAGAACTGGTGTTTTCAAAACTACATTGTGAAGTGCTAGAATAGGTGTTTTCAAAACTACATTGTGAAGTGCTAGAACTGGTGTTTTCAAAACTACATTGTGAAGTGCTAGAATAGGTGTTTTCACAGAAGAAGTTTATGTCCTTTCCAGTAAATGTTTTAAAAAGTTACATTTTCTTTCTCAATTAATGTTTATAGAGAGTACATTTGTTTGTTTTTTTCCATTAGATTTATGTGTAAACTAGGTTTGTTTGTTTTTACTAATAAATATTTTGTAACTTAATCTGTGCTCATAAGAAATAGATTTCTTTACCTGAAATAATCTTGGAATATATATTTTTTCTCCAGTGCATTTTTATATAGTACATTACTGTGACACGTGCTCTTTACTGCAGGTTTTTGTGTAGTATATTACTGTGACACAGGCTATTCACTACAGGTTCTCATTTAGTACATTTTTGTGACACATATTCTTCACTACGTATTTTTATGTAGCACATTTCTGTAATATATGTTCTTCTGTACGAGTTTTAATGTAGCGTATTTCTGTGACACATTCTCTTCACTACATGTTTTTACGGGGTACATTTCTGACCCAATGCTCTTCTTTAAAGATTTCCATGTAATACATTTTATGAGGCACGCTCTTCACTACAGTTCTTCATAGAGTAAGTAAGTTCAATTCACATTCTCTGTGTGCAACACGTGACCCTCAGTAGAAGTTTTCTCGTGTTCGTTTCGTGTAAGCTGTTTACTACGTTAAACGTATTGATGGGATCGTTTTGTGTAAAACTTTTGACTAGACGTTTTAACAAAATAATTTTTTCTAACTCATCTTAACTAGAAGAAATTTTCACACAGTAAATTTAACTAACTTTGTTTATCCAATAACAGTCTTCATAACTAGATAATTTTACGGAATAAAATTATGCACGTTATAATAAGCTTTCTTAACTCGTCTTCTCCAACTCATGTTTTCACAAACAAAGTATGATGCACTGTTAAACATCTGCCTCTAGTTTTTACTTATAATTGTAAATTATTTAGAATTAAGAATGAAAATGGTTCTTGGAAAAATGATTTAAGCGAGATTAGAACGCACCTTTACCACTTGGAGCAGTATAGAAGTGGATTCAAAAAAATGTGAAACCTTCAGTATCATACCAGAAACGTCAAAAAGCATTATATTTTACCTTAACTATTATAATGCGTGAAATTGCTAATATTCTGCTCATAAAAATTTGAAATATGTACAGCTTTATATTATTTTATGACCATTGACGAAATATTTATATTTTCAGTATTTTATTGGTAAATTCTTTCGACCCGAGTAAAACTAATAATTTCAGATAGATGTTTTTGTTGTTGATGTTGTTGTTATTAGTTAAATGAACGAGTGAAGTGTATTTTATTTGAATGCTAAAATTTAAAAGTGTTTGCTTATATTTATTGTAAGTAGTACAATATATTTCTGTTGCTATATACTGGTATTCTGATAATTTGTTTACATTTTTATTTATTTGTTTATTATAAAAATCTTCAGGAATTCTTAGAAAATAAATAATACAAAAAGTTATATTATAGAAGTAAACAACTGTATATAAAACACTGATAATCTCTAAGAATCTTTTTATTCCAGGATACCAGCCATCATCCCACGACAAAATATTGCATTATTTAAAAACCTGATATCTAGTGTAAGTGTGTGTTTGTGTTTTTGCTACTGAAAGTGCCTTTGAGAATAGAGCTATGGGCAGCTTGAGAATCTGAAGAAATCTTCTTATCAAACAACCTTCTACATCTAATCCTCTTCGCACAGAACTTTGATAATGCCGCAGAGAAAAGGTCTACTTGCTCCACAAAATACGTTTTTAGATACGATAGCAAATCGGTTTGATGGCACACGTAAGTTATTCAGGATATTTTTTTTTCTTTTCATCTTCATTTCACTTTCTTCTTCTAAAAATTGATATATTTTTTATTTGCTTGAAATGTATTGTATACTAATCATGGTCTATTTATTTAACTTCCAAAAGCTAGTTATTACAGACCTGCTCATATTCATATCAAATATAGAGTTAGAGGAGAAGCTTTGCATATTTCAGGAGGGAAGGATAATACCAGAAATTAAACAATGATTGACTTGTGTAAACAAACGAGGAGAAATGTTTAATCTTTAAGCTATATTTAGAGACTCAGCCTCCAGGTTATTCTTTCAAACAAAAATCTTAGTTTAGGCATTATATATGTATTAGTACGTAGTTCATCCAATTTCTGAATTAAATATAAAACTTATAAATATCCAATACTAGAAATTTCACATGACGTGGTCATAGAGATAAGGTTTTAATATAATACCGTACATTTTTATGGTATTAAATACAACGTTATTCGACAGTTCTACTTAACGTAATCATTTTTGGTTTTTATAACCTTGTTAAAACAATATGTAGCATTTCAAGTAATAACTTAAAACTCATATTTTAGGTGGCCACGCGTCACGCTGGTTTTAACTGTTATTTGCTAAAATTTCATTTCCTGTAGGCAACAAAATAATATTGCAAACGTTTCAGATCCCATATTATTTTTTCACTGGAATCAGAGGTGTTATTTTAATATTCTAACGATAAGAGGAAATAATATTTTATCTCTCCATCGGCTGTTTGCTATCCCCGCAACAAGCGAAATACAAAATCTGCAGTGCGAGACAGTTGAAAGAAAATGTGAGATGTAAGGCGCGATAGAAAGTGAAGATATGAGGTTAAGTTTGAAATTTTCAGATATAGAAGACTGTTTCGTGTAGGTAGTATTATTGATTTATTTAGTTTGTGTTTATAATTCATTGATGTCGAGGCTATCGAACGTTGTGTTTGCAATCCATTGATGTTGAGGCTATAAAGATTTTTAGAAGGCTTAAGTGATAGACCTATAAATAGCTGCAGCCAGACGAGCGGAAAGATAATATAAAAGTCACGTGAAAGAGATGTTTCGTCAGAGAAAAATTAGAAAGTGTAAAGTTAACCTTGGTGGAAGTAAATGGCCTAACAGTTGATATGTTAGAGTGAGATTAAGAGTTTGAAAGAGATAAGGAGAATGATCTGTCTCTGACAAATGGTGTTCCAAAGTAATTGAACCCATCTGTGTGGACTTTGACGAAAAGCAGACGATTATTGGAAGTTCGAAGAGCAGACGATTAATCGAAGTTCAGGATACAACTCCAGGACTCACGCAACAACATAAGTGAATTATACACGGATACTATTGCGATAAAATTAGAGAAAAAATAATTCGGCTTGTCAACTGAATTCTAAAGCAATTAAATTGGCCTAAGTAAACTTTTGACAAGAAGAAGAGAACTGTATGGTGTTTAAGATACAACTATGATATCCATACTGTAAAGAATTTTGTACATACATTTAACTTGTTTCTAATATATATATATATCTGCGGATTTACAATGCTAGAACCGGGTTTCGATACTGGTGGGCAGAGCACAGATAGCCCTTTGTGTAGCTTTATGCTTAACTACAAACAAACAAACAAACAAACGAATATATATATATATATATAATTTTAAAAACAAGTGGCGTGCGTGCTGTTCGTTTATTGTCGAATTTATCGCCAACAAGTCACAGACAACTACTGTAGAAGAATCCTTAGCCCAACACACCCATATATTTACATAACTATGTATACCACTAAAAGTAGTTTCTGACACAATATTTATTTTACTGATGATTGTATCTGCGAAACCTGGTGAAAGTAACTTTGATGTATGGAGAATAAGATAAGAATCACGTAAAAGAGAAAAAAAACACAAACTGTCAATGACGTTATGAAAGGATAACGAGTGAATTTATATATTAATAAAGGCCCTTGGAAGGCTTGACAGATCATACTGATGTGAAAACTATCAGAAGATTAAAAGAGTTTGTTTTAATAAAATATTATCTCAAGAAAGAAATACAAATGATAAATCCATTAACTGGATGCTAATAAAGAGGCTTAACAAGTGACCATTGTATTAAGTATAGACTACAAAAGAGGATTCAGGTAATTATTTTTGCTTGATGATTATTTTATAAAATGAAGACAAAATATACTATTAAATGGACTATTTTTATTGATTCAACACCATTGGACAGAATCATAGTTAGTTATATTATTAAAACAAATATCACCGATAAGGCTCATAAATGTTTAACTTAAGAAAGAAAGTTCATAAGATATTAAGTTTTTTAGTTTCAAGTAAAATATACTTTTATGATTTTCACGGTTCTTTTACATAGGCACTCAGTTTTAGATCTACATATGATTTAAATATATTTACGACCGCTTTAGTTAGCTTTCAGGTTTAGGATAGAACATTTTGTTACAATTTTATGGAGTTCTTTTACATTATTTATGTTTTGACCTTAATACATTATTCTTATATTTAATGTTCTTTAGATTAATAACTTTCTGTATTAGATGTATGTTCTTTGAAATCATTCATTAGTGATAGGCCTGAAAATTTAAAAAGATTCTTAGTTATGTGCTGCTCATATAATTTATTTGACTTTCTTTCAGTTTATTAAAATTAATCTTGAAATTTAGTCCTCAGTATTTCAAATTATTTGTGTCTTTCTTTTCCAGCAAATATTAGTTTTGTCATAAATATAATTTTCCGATATTTTTAGTTCCTTTAGATAAAGTTTTGTCAAAAATCTTACAGTTGTTTTTTTTATACAAGTTTGTATGATTCCTTTAACTCATGCCCCCAGTGGCACAGCAGCATGTCTGCGGACTTACAACGCTAGAAACCGGGTTTCGATACCCGTGGTGGGCAGAGCACAGATAGCCCTTTGTGTAGCTTTGTGCTTAACTACAAACAAACAAACCTTTAACTCATAGTTTCATATTTATTAGTATTCTATACTGCTCTCGCTTTAGATATAAATGCTGTTTTAAAAATACATTACGTGAAATATTTGTTTTAGTCCTGTGTTTTACTTCTCATCCGTCTTCTTTTGCATTCTATTATTTTCATATCTGAATAAATATTTTACGACTCTTTTTCTTTCAATTTACCTTGCAATTCAAATACTGAATGCATTTTTGTGGCTTTTACATTTTTATTATATTACTCTCACTTTAAGGCTTGGACATTATTTTTTTATTTATCTTGAAATTTATTTCGAACTTCATGTTTCAAATAAGTTTTTGATTTTGAACTTAATTATAGTCTTACAGCTACTATAGTTTGTGCCTAAATATCCTTTACAGTTCCTTGAAACCAACTGTAATGTTTCACGCTTCAATATGTGTTGGGGCAGCGGTAGTTTCCGCACTTACAATGCTAAAATCCAAAGCTCCGATTCCCCGCTGTGGCCAGAACGCAGAAATCCATTGTGTAGCTTTCTACTAATAAGCTCACAACCGCAGTAAATATTTTAGGACTCTTACATTTGAATTTACATTTTTATTACTGGATATATTTTACAAATTAATATTCATATTGAGGCCAGACATATTTTTATAACTTTTGTTAGTTTTTAATTTAAGTCTTATACCTGAATTTATTTCATGTTTTTTTAATATTAAATTTTAAGGCTTGGTATGATAATGTTTAGTTTTTTTTACTTTTTTCGTTACGATACTTATCGATTAATTCTTAATTTTTGGACAGAATATATTTTAATTATATTTTACATTTCCTTTCGAGTTACCCCCCAGTGGCACAGCGGTGTGTCTGCGGACTTACAACGCTAGAAACCGGGTTTCGATACCCGTGGTGGGTAGAGCACAGATAGCCCCTGTGTAGCTTTGTGCATAATTAACAACAAACAAACAAACCTTTCGAGTTAACTGACAGTGTCAAGTTTAATTGTGTGGTTTGTTTGAATTTCGTTTTCAGACAGTAATTTTGTGCTTGGGAATGCCCAAGTGCCTGCAATTTTTCCGATCGTCTACTGTTCAGACGGGTTCTGTGAGTTGACAGGGTTTTCCAGAGCTCAGATAATGCAGAAAGGTGTTGGTTGTAGCTTCCTATACGGATTGGAAACCCCGGAGGACGCAAAAGAAAAGATAGAAGATGCCCTGAAAAACAAAGTGGAATTAAAGTTGGAGGTGATTCTTTACAAGAAAAATGGTGAGTCCAATATATATATATATTCATTTCTACAGATCATTAAATCACCCTATTCTTCTAACCTGCTTCAAACTCTGTATACGTCATCTATTTTTCAGATTATCCCGAACATCATCTAGTTTGACAGGCTTTCATATTTTCAGTCTAGTTGTTGCTCTTTCATGCTAGAATATTCTATCCGTATTCCATGTTTTGCGTCATAAATTTCATTCCTTCAGACATCAAATTATTCTGTTTGTTTCAGTATTCGGTATCAATATTTCGGACACTTTCTTATTTAAATAAAATTAAAGTTTATAATGTTAAACTCAAAAACAACAGTTGTTCACTGTACCATGCACAACTGTACTTTCAAACTGTAATAAACAACTACAGCAGAGAAAACAGAGGCTGGGTAACAGTTGATAAGTATTTTTCAAAAGCGGTTCTTTAATGACAACAGCTTTAGATATATTTAAACCCAAAACGACCAAAAAACAAATAAAAACAACAACCTGCAGGACACACTGTGTGTTATTAACAGGGATGATAGTTTAGCGATTTTACACCTCAGACTGCGGTAATCCAAACTATCACATATTATCAGTAGATGTGCTCTACTGAACCCTTATTTAACATACCAAATTTCACGGCAATCCATTAGGAAATACTTGAGATATAAAATCTCCAATTTTGATTGAGTTTCTTCCCTTTTATTTAATTCGCACCAAAAGTATGGAAACTTTATTTGATAGAAAAACACACTTAACTTTTATAGATTTTTTTTTCAAATTTGGTACACTGATAGTTCTTTACAACCTACAATTAGGAGTCTCATTTAGTGTAAATATAAGCCACATGTGCAAAGTTATTCAACAAAAACCACTCAAATTTATCAAAAATGTTTGCGCACGCCTATGCAAAAAGTCACGTGAGCTATCTGTCTAACATTTTTACTACAGCTTACCCTAAAAGTGGACTGTTTTTAATTTTTTGTCATTCGGATTAAAGATGGCAAAACGATAAGGTGAAAGAACGTGCAGATACATAAGTATTGGTTAGACCAAGCAAACTAGATTAGCAGTTTCTAGCTCAAGTTTTCAAAAGAATCATACGAGTGGATGGTTATCATTGATTAATCATTGCCAAGGAACGTTTCACACAAATTTATTAAATTTTATGAAATTCTCGTAATTGAAGAGCGTTAAGCATCACTTTATATCAGCATAAAGAATTAGCATAAATAATGATGCTTGATACGGCCGTATCGATTGCATGGGCGTGGTGACAAGAAACTGTTAATCTCACTTCCATGGCGTTAATATAAATGAAACTATTAACACTGTTTTAGGGAGGAAACTACCACTGTATATTTTAAAGAACCTGGTTGGTTCTATAAAGTAAAGGTTTGTTCCGAATAATAGGGTTACCTACCATTATACCCCAGGTTAAACAAAAAATGCAGCCTGGCTAACTAATGAATGAATATTTGTTGTAAAATTTTTGTCAATACTATAAGTGTAGTTACCAGATTGGCTGCCAATTTTGATTGCATTCCTTTAAGTCGTACGCTGAATCCTTTTTTAGCCGCACCTTTTTTCACACCTAAGGTGTTTTTGATTAGATAATACAATAACGATAATATTCTTACGCAATATTAACTGTTTATTATTGTACTCTCGTCCAGAAATAAATTGATTAAGATATAAAACAAATAAATACACCATCTAATTGTAAAACTACAAGACCAGATTTGCACAGACATTGTTTCGGTCAGCTTACTCCCATAGAATGTTTACTTTGAAATGCTTTTCTTTATTACAATATTTCAGTAATGGAGTGGAGATTAGACGTAGTTGTCAGGACATTACTTTTTTTTAGAAACTTCCTTTTGGTGTTTGTTGGATATCGTTCCCATCAAGAACGAGAAACACGAGGTGGTTTTGTTCCTCGCTTCCCACAAGGACATCACCAAAACGAAGATGGCCGAGATGGAGGAGGAAATGTACGATGAGGGTGAGTATAATAGAAACCAATTAGTGCTTATAATATTTCACGTTGAAACAAGAATAAGCTGTTGTTCAATGTTTCCTAGCCAACTTAGAAATATCCAGACATTGACAGCTTTTTAAATTTGTAATGCTAATTTTAGTATTTTTGTGTTGTTACTTGTATCGAAACAAGCATGGGAGTTTTTAATGTAAGTAACGATGTTTCAATTGTTTTTATTGTCTTTTATTCTTTTGGATGATAATAAAGGCATAGTTAGAAGAATGATTTTTTTCCATTTTCTATTGTTAATTCCTCCCAATATTGTAGCTGTCCTCTTACTATTATTGCTGAAACCCACTTAAAACACTACGTATAGAACCATTTCGTTTGCAATAAAGTATAAAAAAATTACTTAAAGACAGAAAAAAAATCTAAATGTAATACGAATTTACCAACTGATGATCATTAGTAAAATAAAAAAATAAATTAGTATTAGACAAGTGTTGACAGACACGCCCAAAGTCTTCACTTTAATGCAGAATGTTAGCCTAAGTCAACATCAAATAATATGCACAAGGATATCAACTCCCGGGGTCCGAGCTGGCCTAGTAATTAGCATGTCTGGAGTGCAAATCCAAGAATTCATGGTTTGCGATTTGTTAATACTGAAACGCGTTCCGCACTTTGGAACAATGGGTGCACTATAAGAGTGACCTGCTAATCGATCACATAAGAATAGTCCAAGATTTGGCGGTGGGAGCTATTGTCTAGCTACCTCCCCCCCTAGTCTATCAGCTCAAAAGTAAGGACGGTCAAAACAGCCCTTGCGTACCTTTTGGTGATACCTGAAAGAAACTCTCGGAACATGCTACTGATTGAAACTTTCCACTATTCATTCTCACCTGTTCACAGATGCGTAGGTATTTTCGTTGTCGTATTACTTATTACTTTTTGTGTGTATGTGTTTGTAATTGAATTTTTAAAATCTGTATTTGTTCTATTTATTTATCAAAAACTGTCCGCCTTCACACTCGGCTGATCATTTGTAACGCTTTCAAACGTAATTTTTGTCGTAACATATTATATCCTGAATGATGAAAAAAAAAAAGTTCATCATTCTAATTTTCAAAACTTCGTAACTGAACGGACAGTATTTTAGTAATAAAAGGTACAAGATCATCACATAGTTTTTGTTTTCAGGGCAACGTGATATCCACTGAAAAGTTATTTGTAGCAGTATTCGTTAAAGTTAGTTTTCTATATAAAACTTATGGATGCTGAAGTTTGTATTTTCTCTGCACTGTATAATAAATTCATACTTTTTTTCTTGTACTTTTATCTTGTTCTGAGGAATACATGCCTTTAAACAATCTTTGATGATTTTTATGATAAGAGGTTTATAAATTCACCAAACAAAACATTACACCAATACAAGCTCTAAACTTATAGGTTTAGATTAATAAATGTGTTTCTAATCGACAAGCTCTAATAAAGTAACTATAAAGTGACGTTGTGTCATTTAATGGTTATATCTAATGAATCGATTTAAAAATTCTTATAATCCTCCCCAAAGTTGGTCTGCCGTAATACGGCATTAGAGTAAAATTATTTCATTTTTGTTTTCACTGTTTACTTGAAATATAATCATAATTCTTTGGTTACTGTTAGTTCCCAACCTGGTTGTGAGGAAATGAAAAAAATAATTAAATATTTCCTACAACTCTGTGAAACTGTAACTCCATGTTCCAAGGAGTTCTGCACACTGTTTCAGTTTCTCTTGGAAAGTTTAATATTGTGAATCTATTACAGAGGATCCGCTAGCAGGGAATTTTTCCATTTTCGTTCCATTTCGTCAGACCACTGACCACATGGCCACTCTTGACCCTGAGACTTGCATCCCTAATTCAAACTACCATCGTCGCCGGAGTCGAGCAGTTTTATATCAGCTTTCAGGACATTACCGCCAGGATAAAATAAAACCTAAGCTTAAGCTAAATAACGTAAGTCCACATTAATTGCAGTATGTTTCATAATATTACGGTCTCCTGTGCTAGTTCTCGGGTCATTACCATCTGAATAGAACTAATGCAGTTTCATCTTTGATCTAATGCTGTCGTGGTTTGTGCAGAATGCAAAGAATTAATTAATTATTTTTCCTGTTTTATATATATATTGGTAAATAATCATAGAAATATTCTATACATCATAGGTGCTTCAATTAGTAGCAATCCTCATATTTTTAAATGAAATACAGCATTCTAGGTTAAAACGATTTTATTAACCTAACAATTTTAAAAATTCATTTGCAAGTTTCGACGTCTACACTAGAATCAACAAACGGTAAGGAAATCAGAACCTAAAGAAACGGTGAAGTAAAGCTTGTAAGTAACTCCGTATCAAACGAAACGCTGAAGTAATGCATGTAAGAAACTCAGGACCAAAAGAAACGCTGAAGTAACGCATGTAAGAAACTCAGGACCAAGAGAAACGGTGAAGTAACGCATGTAAGAAACTCAGGACCAAAAGAACCGCTGAAGTAACGCATGTAAGAAACTCAGGACCAAAAGAAACGGTGAAGTAACGCATGTAAGAAACTCAGGACCAAAAGAAACGGTGAAGTAACATAAGTTTGTGAAGAAATATCTCATTTACGTATTTCAGATTTTGTTGAAAATTTTTCCTATACTTTTTTTTAACATTACATATAGCGTAAATCATAACCTCTCAAAAAATTCTGGTTGAAATTTGAAATATCCGAAAGTAACAGTTCTCCTTATGGTGTTACGAAGGGCAGTGTTAAAAGAGAAAATAGTCTAGAGTGTAATTGTGCAGTTTTCCTGATAGAAATGAGTTTAATCGGAATTAACTTAGTGGCTCAGTTTTTAGAGTACTTGCTTAGTATATGAAAGGTTTTCAGTTTGATCCTCAGCTTAGAGGATACAGAAATGGGATTAACCCTTTCACAATGGGTACCCCTTTAAAACCCTTTCTGCACAAGTCACTAAGTGCATTCAAAATTTAATTAAACAACTTTATTATCAATATATGTCAAGGAAATTAACATTATAATGTAGGTTATAATTTGAAGTTTTATTTTATCTAAGTTTCAATTCCTTTATTTCAAAAGAAACTTCAAAAAAACTTAATCTCCAGTTTTCTTGTCACATGTCTTCTGAGTTATGAAAAAATCTCACCTTTTGCAGCCTCTGTATTGAATGGAATAAACCATAACCTGTATATTTATGTCTAGACAATAAGTACATTTACTTTCCCTATCGAAACTAATAATTCAAAGTCCTTTTGTTGAATCCAATAGAAACACGTAATAAATTTTGCCAACCACCATCTGTACTTTGCTTTGAGGTTCACAAACCACATGTATTTACTACGCATATGCAGAGTTAATGTTCCCATGTGTATGCCTTAGGACGCACAGTTAATGTTACCATTTGTAGGCTAAGTAACCATTTTTTGTTGAGATAACATTATCAGGAAATTTTTCACCTTTAAAATTTATTCGAAGCTACTCGTGACTTTCTTCAGCATGCTATTATTAATAGCTCCCCACACCAGTAGGTCAGCGGTAAGTTTGACAGCTTATAACGCTAAAACCCAGGATTCGATACACGTGGTGAGCACAGCACAGATAGCCTATTGTGTAGCTTTGCGCTTAAAAACAGACAGATAGCTCTTATTCATTTTTTTCAAACAAACCTTACGTATTTATCTGTTGTTGCACAGTAATAGTTTCGTTTTAAAAGGAATTTCTCATGATTGGTAGTTTAACAAACGAATACCAGCGTTAATGGCATGCGTCATTACTTTCATTCATCTCCTGATGACAGACTGCTTCTAATTCAGTAATAAGGCTAGCTGCCCCTGCTCACATTTAATATTCTGCTTGCACCTAGCCTCTTTCTCGTACAAAAGACGTCATTGTTAATATTCTCTGGCTTCTCAGTTCTAAAAGACATCAATATTGAGAGTCGTGAAATAATGGTTATGTGTGTTATATTAACTGTGGAACTCGGAGTTGGATAATGAAAAACAGTTTATGTTATAATCATTTGGAAGCTGTAGAAGAAATAAGTTTTACACTTTATTAAATTAAACAATGTAATAATCTACAATCACGCATGGTCAATAATAAACAATGTTTAATACCTCATTCGTCGTAGGATACAAAGTGATTAAATCTACAGTTGGTATTTTTTCGGAAAAAAATGTTCCATCCAGGAAATTACAAATCTAAGGAAGAATTGAGGAGTTAAACAAAACACTTTTAATGTCAAAACACTTCTAATGGTATATTGTTTTATCACTCAATTTGTTTATTGTTATGTGACTTGTTTGTCTCAACTTTTTTGCTGTTACTGGAAAGACTCAACAAATTCATTGTTGTGTGGTTAGTATGGCTCAATTTGTTTATTCTTATGTGGATTATATGGATAGACTTGTTTATTCTTATGTGGATTGTAAGGCTCAACAAATTTACTGTTGTGTGGCTTGTATAGCTCAATTTGTTTATTATTATATGGCTTGTGTGGATCCACTTGCTCATTCTTACGTGGTTTTTATGGCTAAATTATTTATTGTTATGTTGTTTATATGGGTCAAATTATTTATTTTTATGTGAGCTTTAAGGATCAACGTTTTTTTATTAAGTGATTTGTGTGGCTCATTTGGTCTACCATTATATTTTCTGTACAGCTCAACCTGTTTGTGTTACGTGGCTCGTGTGGCTCCACTTGTGGTTTGAATGGCGCATAATGTTTATTGTTATGTGATTTATATGATACTATTTATTTATTGTTAGTGGTTTGTATGGCTTAGCGTATTTATTGCTATATGGTTTATATAACTAAACTTGCTTGTTATGTAATTTGTATGGCACAACTTCTTTATCGTTTTGTGTTTGTGAGACTCAATTTGTTCTTTCTTAAGAGGAGTGTATGGTTCAACTTTCTTACTGTTATGTTGTTTGTATTGCTCAACTTGTTTATTGTTATGTAGTTTGTACGACTCAATTTCTTAATTGTTATGGTTCAACGTCTTTATTGCTGTTTGATTTGCATGACTTTGTTTGTTGTTATTTGACTAGTATAGCTCAAACTGTTTATTGTTATGAGATTTGCATAGCTGAACATGTTTATTATTATTTTGTGTGTGATTCACTATGTTTTTTGTTATGTGATTTGTATGACTCAATTTGTTTATTATTATGTGATTTGTATGGTACGATTTGTATATTGTTCTTGGTTTCTACGGCCCAGTTTGTCTATTGCTAAGTAGTTTGTATGACTCAATATTCTTCTTGTCATGTGATTTGTATGGTTCAACTTCTTTATTACTGTGTGGTTTTTATTACTCAGTTTGTTTATTGTTAAGTGGTTTATATGATTCACTTAGTTTATTGTTATGTAATTGGTATGGCTCAATTCTTTATTTTTATGTCACTTATATGATTTGGTTGGTTTATTTTTGTAATTTTTACGGCTCATCCTGATTATTTTCATGTAATTTGTATAGCTCATTTTGATTATTTTTAGTAACTTGTATTACTCAACTTGTTTATTACTATGTGGTTTATATGACTCAATTTCCTTATTTTTATGGTTCAGTTTGTTTATTCCCATGTGGCTTATATGACTCAAGTTATTTAATGTTATCTGGTTTAAATGACTCAACTTGTAATTGTTTGTATGACTCAATATTTTTATTGTTATGTGGTTTGTATCGCTTAAGTTCTTTATTGTGTGGCTTGTATACCTAAATTTGTTTATTGCTATGTAGCTTGTACAACTAAATTTGCTTATCATTACTTGGTTTGTATGGCTCAACATGTTTGTTGTTATGTGCTTTGAATGGCTCAACTTGATTATTGTTACTGGTTTATGTAGCTCAACTTGTTTGTTGCTACGTCGTTTATATGGCTCAAGGTGTTTATTGTTAGGTGGTTTATATGACTCAATTTGTCTATTGTTATAAGATTTGCATTGCTCAGATTGTTTATTATTATGTGTTTTATATAAGTCAACCTGTCATTATTATATTTTATATGACTCAATTTATCTATTGTTATGCCATTTTATGGCTCAACTTGTTTATTGTTAGGTGTTTGTTTCGCTGAACATGATTATTGTTCTGTGGTTTGTATGACTTCTCTTGTTTGTTATTATTGTGTGGCTTGTATTGCTCAGTATGTTTATTGTTGTGTGGTTTGTGAGACGCAATTTGTTCATTTTTATGTGATTTGTATGGCACAACTTATTTATTCTTAAGATTTGTACGGCTCAACTCGTTTATTTTTATGTGGTTTGTATGGCTTAAAGTTTTTATTATGTAATATGTATGAATCAGTTTGCTTATTATTATGTAATTTGTACGGCTGAACTTGTTTATTGTTATGTGAGCTTTTAAGCTCAACATTTATTTTTTATGTAGTTCGCACGGCTGAATTAGTTTACTGTTATGTGGTTTGTATAGTTTAACTTGTTTATTATGTGGTTTGCATGGCTCAATTTATTTACTCTTATGATTTGTATGGCTCAACTTGTTTATTGCTGTGTGGTTTGTATGGCTCATGTTTGTTATTATGTGGTTCATAAGACTCAATTTGTATATTGTTATGTGGTTCATAAGATTCAACTTGTTTATTGTTATCTGGTTTATGTGGCTTAACAATTTTATTGTTATGTGATTTATATGACTTAATGTTTTTGTTGTTATGTGATTTATATGGCTCGACATGAGAAGATGAGTTAATATAGGAAACTAGTGTTGT